AATCAATTAATTAAAAAAATAAATTTAAAAAAAAATCCTTACCTGCCCTTTGAGTGGGGCCCCTGCTCCAGTTCAGGTGACTTCAGTCCCCCAAAGGGCGAGGGGTCCAGGCTGCCTGAAGCAGATGCAAGAGGACTCGTGGCTGGAGATGGAAAGGGCCTTGGATGCTAGTCAGGAGAGTATGCACATCATTGCACCGGCGATGGGGCGCCATTGAGGTTTTTGGGGTTTTTTTTCTGGCTGCGGCCGCGCTGCATGTGGGATCACAGTGCCCTGACCAGGGATCGAACCCTCGCCCTCTGCATTAGAAGCGCGGTGTCTTAACCGCTGGATCGCCAGGGAAGTCCCCAATGAGGGGTTTTGATCAGAGGAGTGATGTGATCAGAGAAGCATTTTAGACAGTACACAGATGTACTTTTTTTTCCCCCCAGTAGTGGTTTCGTATTTTTTCATGATGAAGGGCATACACACGTTTTCCCTCTCCCCAAGCTGTCAACTGAGGGACTTCTGAGATGAGGTTTTACTTCTAAATACCTAAGTGAAACTCGCTGGTCCATCTTGTAGAGGCTGGCTTGTAGAGGCTGGCTGTCGTCTGGTTTTGTTTTTTTTTTTTTGTTTGTTTGTTTGCTTTGCGGTACGCGGGCCTCTCACTGCTGTGGCCTCTCCCGTTGCGGAGCACAGGCTCCGGACGCGCAGGCTCAGCGGCCATGGCTCACAGGCCCAGCCGCTCCGCGGCATGTGGGATTTTCCCGGACCGGGGCACGAACCCGTGTTCCCTGCATCGGCAGGCGGACTCTCAACCACTGCGCCACCAGGGAAGCCCTGTTGTCTGGTTTTATAAGATGATTGGGGCCCCCGCAATGATCCCCTCACTATTGTGCAGCGCCGTCCAAAGGACCTCACGCACCTGTCATCTCCTGTGGACAGGTGACTGCACCCAGTGTATGTGGGTCGGGCTTGGAGGCTTGGATTCTTGCCTTGGAAAACCTGCAGCGGTAATGACTTCCTGCTGGTAGAGCTCAGGAAGACAAAGTTAGGGTCACCCACCAGTGCCCCTGGATTCCTGCACCTGTTTACCCACAAGACACTAGCCATGTCATTTGAAAGTATCCTGAAATATTTTAAAACTAAATGCCCAGTGGGCTTCCCTGGTGGCGCAGTGGTTGAGAGTCCGCCTGCCGATGCAGGGAACACGGGTTCGTGCCCCGGTCCGGGAAGATCCCACATGCCGCAGAGCGGCTGGGCCCCATGAGCCATGGCCACTGAGCCTGTGCGTCCCGAGGCTGTGCTCTGCAACGGGAGAGGCCACAACAGTGAGAGGCCCGCGTACCGCAAAAAAAATAAAACAAAAATAAAAAAATAAATGCCCAGGCTTCCCTGGTGGCACAGTGGTTAAGAATCCGCCTGCCAATGCAGGGGACATGGGTTCGAGCCCTGGCCTGGGAAGATCCCACGTGCCACGGAGCAATAAGCCCGTGTGCCACAACTACTGAGCCTGAGCTCTAGAGCCCTCAAGCCACAACTACTGAGCCCACGTGCCACAACTACTTAAGCCTGCGCGCCCAGAGCCCGTGCTCTGCAACAAGAGAAGCCACCGCAATGAGAAGCCCGCGCACCACAACGAAGAGTAGCCCCCACTCGCCACAACTAGAGAAAGCCCGCTAGTAGCAACGAAGACCCAATGCAGCCAAAAATAAATAAATAAATTTAAAAAAACCCAAAAAACTAAATGCCCAGGTGTCTCAGGTGGCTTAAGTCCAGGGTGCCCAGCTGAACCTGGAACTCTGAAAAGTGTCATTTGGTCTCAACTGTGGGGTTTTCTGAGGCTGCCAACTCTAAAGTGGATGTTCTGGTCAAGGGATAAGGGGAGAATGTGTGGGTGGACATTCAAGTGAGTGCTTTGAAACCTCATGTGTACAAAGCTCAGATGTAACCTATTGCCTGTCACTGCCTTGAACAAAACAATTTTCACGGGGTGTCCTGCTGAAGGTGGGCACTTCAATGATCAGAGTGAAGCTGCCTGGCCATGAACTCAACACCATCGTCTCTCCCTTTGCCTCTTTGGCATTCATCCCACCCGCTGGCCGAGTCACCCAGTTACAGTCCTTCCATCCCCCTACTGGATAGAGCCCCTCTGACCCAGGGATTATAAATACATTTGAAACAGTGACATCCTCAGTGTTACTTGTGGAAATGACACCGCCCCCTTGACACCATGCTTCTTTACATCACACCAATTAAAATTAGTCCTTTTTACAAGGTATTTGGATTTATTTCTACTATCTAGACTATTTCCAAGTTTAGATTTTTATTTCTGACTTTTCCTCCTCCTTTTTTCTATATCTCCTGTTAACCTCAAAAATAGAAGAGGCAGTTACTTTACCAGCAAAATGGGTTTCTTCAGGAATCGCAGGGAATTTCGACTTGGGACAGGCAAGCTGTGGTGAATCGCAGGTAAGCTGGGAGAGCGCAGAGGGACGTGCTTTCACCAGGTTTAGGAGGAGCTTGGGGACATGTGTTCTGAACAGGACACAGGGAAAGAACGGGGGTCCAAGGTTGTGAGGCTTCTCATTGGCTGCCAGGGGTGGTCAGAGTGGGATCACCACTGGGCAGGGGAGGGGCAAAGGAAGAGGGAGAGTCTTTGTGGGAACAAGATTATCCTCTTGGTGAACAATCAAGGTACCAGGGAGACACCAGGGCCATGCCCAGGCTCATCATTCTTGAGCCAGTGACAAGGCTGTGCAGGTGGTTCCTGCTTTCAAATGACTGAATTGCTTACAAAAGTGGGCTCTGTATAGGACCATTAGTTACTTTCTTTTAAAAACCTTTTTATTATGAAAATATAACATGTGTTCAGAAAAGCGCATAAAAGATGTACAGCTTAATTTATGACATAACCACTCTGCAGATATGTAAAAACTAGAACGTTACCAACCTTGCAGAAGCCCTCCTGGCCCTGCCCTTCCAGATCATGACCCCCACCTTTGTCATAAATCAAGTATCCATATGCATGGTGCTGTTTCTGGGAGATTTTGTTTTACCCTTGTGACAAACTGTGGTGTCTCTCCAAAGGAGAAACTCTCCCGTCTGGTTGTCTCTCCAAAGGAGAAACTCTTGCATCTGCTTTTTCTCCTTGACCGTCTTGGCTAGTCTTAGTCCTCTGCATGTACATATAACTTTTATTTTATATTATTACTTTATTTTAAAAAATATTTATCTATTTATTTGGCTGTGCCAGGTCTTAGTTGCAGCACTCGGGATCTCCATTGCTGAGTGCGGGATCTTTAGTTGTGGCATGCATGTGGGATCTATTTCCCTGACCTGGGATCAAACCTGGGTCCCCTGCATTGGGAGCTCGAGGTCTTAGCCACTGGATCATCAGGGAAGTCCCCTTACATATAACTTCTAGAATCAGTTTGTTGAATTTCACACACACAAAACCTGTTGGGTTTTTGATTGGGATTTTATTAAATTTATATACATCTGTTTGGGGAAAAGTCAACATCTTTACAATTAGTCATGAGTTGGCAAAATTTTTCTTTAAGGACCAGATAAATATTTTAGGCTTTGTGGGCTAAGAGGCAAAACTGAGAATTTTATGTAGGCAAAAACCATCCTTAATTCACAGGCTCCTGAATCTCAATAAATCAGATGTCAGCTTGAATGGATCTGGGCTGTGGTTTTCTGGCCCTGTGAATTTGCTTGCTTTCCTTCAGCTTCTCTGGGTAACGCCGTATGAGGTCTTGCGTTGCGGGCTTGCAAATCTACTGGCAGCTCCCAGTTTCCTAGTTCTCTCTCCAGCTGTGTCTAATCTTCTATTAAAACCTTCCAGTGAATTCTCACTTTTGGTTTTGGATTTTTTTAGATTCTAGAATTCACTTTTTTTTTTTTTCTCACATGCCTGGTATCTCCTTTGCAGAGTAAGCAGTTACTTTACTGTCTACCTCTGAAAGCTCCTGTTTCCCCAGCCTCAGTGGGGCTGTTCCCATGGCCTTCTGTTTTACTGGTTTTATCATCTTGTCTCATATGCTTGGTTACATTTTATTATATTCAGTATATTGTATTAGCAAAATTGTTTGCAGAAAGAATTTGAAGTTTAGGATGGTGACATCTTCCTCTAGAGAGGGTTTTTGTTTGCTCATGCCAAAGGCCTGGGGCAACGACCACTTGGGATCACCTTAATCCAATTTCAAGGGCTGAGATTTTGAGGCTGAGCTGCAATCCATCTTAGAAACTTTCTACTCCCCACCCTGCCTCGCCCTGCTTCCGGGGGGGGGGGGTAAAGGACTGAGGGCACCAACCCGAAGTGAGGGCAGGCCGCCTGGTCCACACCCTGTGACAGGCCCTGTCCCTGCCTTCTGCAAGGCCGTCGGGACCACCCATCACCCTCCGAACTGCCTCCTCTAAGCTGGGAAACACCCCCAGGAGGAGAGCGTCCATCACACTAAGCCCACTGCCCGGGGCCTCCATCTTCTCCGTGGTCCAGATCCAGTAATTCTCCAAACTTGTGTTAGCGCCCCGATGCCTCCGGACTTTTAAAGTATGTATCCAGCCTTTCGAGCTGCCCTCACCGGGATGGTCAGTCCACCAGTACTGGGAGCAGAGGTCCTCATAGCCACATGGCGGAGTTCTGAGGAGCCTCATACAGTGCGCTCACAGCAGTAAAGTGTCAGTACACCGCCGTCCACCTTTAATTCTGTGTCAAAACAGGAAGGCCCTGGAAAAATCAACTGCTCCCCCACTGCAGCTGCAGCGTCGATACTCACAGCCGCGGTCGTGGGCTCCCCCTTGTGCCCCGGCGCACACAGCGACCTGACTCACAAGGCTTTCCGCAGAGCCCACCATGTGTGGGGGGCAGGGAGACGACTTTCATTCCACGACAGACACCGAAGGGCTGATTCCTCAGCCGACAGACCCCAGGGTAAATCCTAAGGCGCAGGTTTCAGCCCTCATCTCTGTTTCCAATTATACATTCTTCCCAAGGACGTGCAAGAATCTAATTGCCACTGTTTAAATGCCTTTATTTCTTTCAAATCAAGCTGAAAAGGCAGAATAACAACTTGATTTTTTGGCTATTGGAGGAACAAAGTTTGGGGATTCTCAAGAAACGAAACGCAAGTGACCAGTAAATATATAAAAATTTCATGAGAAATAAAATAAATGCAAATTAAAACAATGAGACGCTATTTTTCCTACTATTAAAGTATCAACATATTCATTTAAGATAATAAATACCCAGTGTTAGGAACTGCTGGGGAGGAGGGTAAAGCTGCACAGCCGTTCCGAGCTTTGCGCGTCAGTCAGCAGAGCCGTGAAGACGCACACACCCTGCAAGCCCGCTGCTGCTGACGCAGCCGGGGAAACAGTAGAAAAGCCTGGACAGATTCAGCCACAAGGTTGCACCTTATATCACATGGTTTAGGAGAGGCTGGAGACAATCTAACAGTGGACTGTAAAATAAATTACAGTACAGAAGTACAACGGCGGAGATGGACGTCACCTACGTGGCAAGTCAGTATTTTGTTAAATGGAAAAAGCAAGTTATCAGAGTACCACATGATCTCATATTTGTTTTTAAAACCCTACGTTTATTTATACAGTACATACTGAAAAACACTGAGAAGAACATAACACCACACTACCGTCGGCAATCTCTGCATGGTGAAAATATGAATGATTAAAAACATTTGTATACCTACTTTTTTTTTTAACATCTTTGTTGGAGTATAATTGCTTTACAATGGTGTGTTAGTTTCTGCCCTACAACAAAGTGAATCAGCTATACATATACACATATCCCCGTATACCTACTTTTGTATTTATCTGCTATTTCTGTGATTAAAAAAGGAAAGAAAAGTAAAAGTCTAATTTAAAAAACGCCTTGCCCAGGTTTTGGCTCATGATATGAGGGGCCACATGTCCCCAGAGGCATCTACGTGGTTTTGTTCCTTCTGACCTGAGTGGATATTCTCACAGTTTTTCTGCAAATGCCATAATCATGGACATCTGACCATCCATCTAGAAAACAGTTCTCTCATTTTCTACCAGAGTTTGTGAGGCTACGGCTGGGGACGGAAGCCACCTTTCTAGGGGAGGAGGTTGGTGGCAAAACTGTGCCCAAGGCCCACACTTTAGTTGGGGGGTCCTTAGACCAAGTTCTGGGGAGAAGGAGGGAGGAAGCAACTGGAAAACAGGTCCGAAGGAATGCCTGTAAGGTCTCCACTTAGCCCTCATTTGCATTCTAGGTCTCCTGAGCCTTAGAGGCATGGAAGATGGGAGGATACCTGGAACCTGGTTTCACAGATTCCTTCTGAGATGGTGAGTCGTTTCAGAAGAGAAATGACAGAACTGAGAATCGTACTGAACATCAAACTGTCAGAGCAACCCCACAGCTACAAAGAGAGGCATGTGGATGGAAAGTCTGTATTCTGGGTTAGTCTAGAGATTCCAACTGAATCAGAAATCTGTGAGGACCACGCCCAGCGCATACCGTAATGATGCCACCATCCACTTAAGAAGTCTGTCCTAGGAGCAAAGAGAGAGTTGTATGAGTCCACGTAAGACAAACCAATGAAGTCATGTATGATGTGGCAAAGGCCCGCCCCCTACGTCCTGCCCTCTCCGCTGACTCCAGGAGATCTCGGGAACACAGCCAGGGCTGAGTTTTCCTCGGGGTAGCTGACAGATGGGGTTGGCAATCTGACTTTCGGCTTACAGGCTATATATAGCAGTGCGGAGCTAATACAAAGAAAAACTACATCAAGATTTGAAGGGAAGAGTGGCCACACCCACCTTGACAATAAAGTCGCTGTCAGCCTAGAGGAGAGGCCCCTAAATGTGGTCTTAGAGGCATGTCCAAAGGAATGTATTTCTGATTAGTGGTTTAAATACTGCAGTTGGGAAATGTTTTTACTTTTAGAAAGAATAAATTACTGTAAATAAAGTTAGCCACACAACAGACGTCCGTGCACTTTCCTGAATGAGAAAAAGGCGGGTTTCAACCGTCAGCACCTCATGAGCACCATCCGTCACGTGTCATCACGGCTAAAAGGTTGCATAACTGCTCGGAGGGTGAGAGCCCCAGGGTACAGGACAGCAGGAGGCCGGGAGGGGAGCAGATCTGTGGAAGCGCCCCGTGTCCTAAACCCGGGGGGAAAGGGGGCTGAGCAAAGGCGGTAACGCCTGTGAACTAAGCAGGAGGCCGGCGCTGAGGCCGTGAGGAAGCACGTGGACGCGTGCTGGACGGGGCGAGCTGACGCCCATGACTGACGTTAGTGCAGAGAAGGCGACACGGCCGTCCTTGTGGGGAGTAGCTTTTATAGTGGGGGTGGAGCTGAGTCCCCTCCCCTCAGTCACTCATGGGAAACCCGTTCCAAGGCCACATAGAAACTGTTCTTGTCGTCCAGGCAGTGCCAGCCGATGGGGCCGATCTCGCAGTCTGCGCAGACCAGGAACTTGATGTTGCCCACGTCCTTGGTGAAGCCCACGTTCTCGAAAGTGAACATGTCCTCCACCAGCCAGTGGTCCTGCAGAAGGTCGCCCTCAGGGCTGCCGCCGTCGGCCAGCGCCGGCTTCTTCCTCATGGGCGGGAGGCAGAGCTGCGTGGACAGAACACAGCAGAGCCCTGCTCACTCCGCACGGCCGGCCCCCGAAGCTCCCCCAGCCCAGGCGCCCGGCAGTAAGCCCCAGGCTGCCCCGGTCCTCGCCAGCCTCTCAGGATAAGGGGGAGAGGCGCTGCCTGGTTGCCGCGGTAACCGGGACGCCCTGGGTCCTCAGGACCAGCCGGTTCCTCCCCGCCCCGGCCGCCGGACCCGCTCCTCCCGGACACTCGGCTCCCACGTGGCCTCCTCAGGGTTTCCCCCAACCGGACAACCTGCACGAGCTTCCCATGCTGCCCACTGCTTGTGTATTGTTTAAAGTGGCTCGGCTGAGGCATAACTGACGCACACTGCACAGATCCAAAGTGGACAGTCTGACACATTCTGGCACACGTATACCGCACACCAACAAAGCTTTACCACGATCAAGATAACGAGCATACTCGTCACCCCCAAATTTCCTCATGCTGCTCCATTTCCTACTTGTCGTTTCTGAAATCATCTTATCAGTTTACTGGCTCAGTTACTTACCAGGGGGCTCCCTCCACCAGCTCACTTTTCCTGTTCATTACCACATCCCCACTGCCTGGAACAGCAGGAGACACAGAGCAGAACGCAAATATCTGGGACAAGGGTAAACACAGGATGTCTGGCTTCACGCTATTCCACCACTGTTGTTACGAAGATACTGGGTTTATCTTATAAAAGGAATATTAAAAAGGAAAATCTAGTTCTAGAATTTGGAATATTATCTCTAGGACCCTTGCATCTCCCATTCATGAGGAGAAAGCATGCGCACACACGCACGCACGCATGCAATCCCTTCGACTTCTTCCACGTGGTTAGCGGACGCCTCAGCTGCCCCGCCCACTGCCTCAGCTGCCCCGCCACTGCAGGACACGTCAGCCAAGCTCCTTCCCTGCTCCTCACTATGGCTGCCGCCAATACGCGGAGTATTTCCCACCCCATGATTCACTTCCAACGCACCCCCAAACTCTAATAAAATAGGACGGCCTTAATGTGCTAGCCTGGCATTGGCAATGAGGACAAAAGCAAACAATTTAAAAAGTTTTTAAAAAATTCGACTGACATCAATGCTCTGGTGGGGATGAGAACGTCAGGAAGGCCACAAGAGCCGCCAGTGTGGGAAACACCCTGGAGCCCGCACTTCTGAACTCCAGGCCTGCAGACGCTGGTAGGGTATCCCTGGCAGGGAGGAGGGAGCTCTGATCCAGAACATTCCCCCTCCCTGTCCTCCAAGCACTCGGCTTGTTAAAACACATCTGTGCATTTCCCTTTGCTGTGTCACCTGAGGCTTCATCTGAGGACATCATAAAATATGATAGTCCCTCTTCCTGTTATATTGTCATTCCAGCCACTCTTTTTGCCTCATCTGATGGTTAAATGAGTCCCTAATGCTTTGTTTTACCCTGAGTGAAAATGGGAACAGGCAGAGGCAAAGAGAGGTAGGAATCAAAATTCAGGAACCAGAAAACCTGAATTCCAGTCCTATGAGTAATTTTCTGTGGGCCTAAACGTCCCTAGGTACATTTCCAGCCTACCTCCTATACTGTCGGTGTGAAATCACATCTTAACTAAATGCAAGAGGAGTGAAATGTGAGGGGAGAAAATCAAAGACTATATAAGCGTTAGCCCTCAGGACATGTCTAGCAAAGGAGCACGAAGCCCCCACATTGTCCCCGTTCGCAGTGCATAAGGCCACCTCTGCTGTCTCCCATTTGATTGGTGACTAAAGGGCAGGACTATTACTAGCCATTCATTCAAGGGGTCAGTCACACTGGGTCCTGTTCCCGCTCTTCCTCAACATGCCCATTTTTACTGAAATCCTGTTAAGTCAGACCCATGTATTTGCACTTGTCTGTGTATCTGTGCCTGGATCTCAACAAAGTAGAGGACAACGCTAGGGTCACGCTGTGGGATGTATCATGTGGGACACAATGAGGCTTTCTGGACAGACTACTGGGGTGGAAATCTAGAAATTAATACCTAATTTGAGGTGGCCAACTCGGCTGTCTGGGGGCCAAAGTCGCCAGACCCCTGACGAGGTGGGTTAGCTGTGCGGCCAGGGCCCCGGCCAGCACCCCTGATCCCGGCCAGCTCTCTGAGACGCATCGAACACCACGACGCTGAGATTCTGCTGATGTCTCACTGAAACTTCTTTTGCTTTCTTCAAGAACTATTAACAGTACCCGTTAAAAAATAAAATATTTTCTTTCTCTTTGTAAAAATACATTCTCATTATAGAGAACTTGGCAAGCATGCTGTACTATAGATGAGAATAAAAACTGTCACAGTACAAAGTAAACTTCTGTTAACCTTTTTTGTAATTTTTCCCCCTTCAGTGAGTACATGTGGTGGTTTTATTATTTTTTATTATTATTTTTTTAAAGATACTGACATGGGGAAAGAACCCATCATATATATATATATATATATATATATATATATTTATTTATTTATTTATTTATTTATTTATCGCTGCATTGGGTCTTCGTTGCCGTGTGTGGTTTTCTCTAGTTGCAGTGAGTGGGGGCTACTCTTCGTTGAGTTGCGCGGGCTTCTCATTGCAGTGGCTTCTCTTGTTGTGGAGCACGGGCTCTACGTGCACGGCTTTGGTAGTTGCAGTGTGCGGGCTCAGTACTTGTGGCTCACGGGCTCTAGAGAGCAAGCTCAGTAGTTGAGGTGCATGGGCTTAGTTGCTCCGCGGCATGTGGGATCTTCCAGGACCAGGGCTCAAACCCGTGTCTCCTGCACTGACAGGCGGATTCTTAACCACTGCGCCACCAGGGAAGTCCTTTGTAGTAGTTTTAAAACCACACAAATGTCCACAAATTCTCTGACAACCTTTCCAAGTTGTGGAGACTGTGCCTCTCCCCTTGAGCCTGGGCAGGCCAAGGTGGGTGGGACAGGCTAGGTTAGGGAAGGCTGGGCCACTTTTGCAGGTTGCTCTTGGAACAGTTGCTCTGGGAGCCCTGGTGACCCTGGAAGAACCATGGCTACCCTGAGGCCTCCTGGCGGATACCGGAAGGAGCGGCCCATCACAGCCTGTCCCGGGTGCCTGAATCCTCAGTCCACAGGCAGACACGGGAGTGGGCAAGCTTCTGAGATGACCCCTCTAACCGCTGCCCCGTGAAACACCATGAATGAGAGAACTGCCGAGCTGGGCCCTGCCAACCCCCAAATTTGTGAGCAAAATAAACGTTAATGTTTTAAGTCACTGTCTGGGGTGATTTTGTTATGCAGCAATAACTAGAACAACACTGCCCAACACACCTGAGGCATGTTCCATTTTAATTCCTGATTTTTCACTGTGATAAACTATACATAACATAAACTGTACCATTTAAATAATTTTTAAGTGGGCAGTTTGGTGCCATTAAGTACGTTCACATTATTGTGCAACCATCGCCACCATCCGTCTACCCTTTTATAACCACACTTGCCAACACCCCTGACCCGCCCCCGCTTCCTAAACCCTGGCAATCACTAATCTGTTGACCATTTCTAAAATTCAAAAATGTCATATAAATGGAATGATACAATAGTAATCTTTCGGGACCAGCTTTCTTCACTCAGCATAATTCCCTGGAGATTCATCCTCATACAAGTTGTGGTGCCCGTGGTGTGGCATCACTCACCAGCAGAATGCCTGCTGGGCTGTTTCTGGTTTTCGGCTCTTAGGAATAAAGGTGCAGTGAACATTTGTGCACAGGTTTTGTGTGAACATGTTTTCATCCCGCCAGGGATAAAGGCCCGGAGAACACTTGCTGGGTCCTATGTTAGGTGCATGCTTAGTTTGAGAATAATGTCTCGGTTTGCTCTCATTCTCACCCAAACAGTGCTCTATCCTTTCTCTCCCACAATCTCATCTTCCACCCCCCTCTCCTGCCCCAACTGCCCTCTCCCTCAAAAGGTAAGAAAGCAACTATTCCCTTCTCTAACTCATCACCCTTTCCCTACATTATCAAGCTCTTTGGTGTTTCTTTCCTCTGTGACTGTAATTTCCTCTGCCCCAGACTGCAGGTGAGATTTCACAAAGGACCGAGTCGGGGGTCTGAACATTTTATAAAGAAACCGTTCACAGGACTTAAAAAAAAGGACACGTCGGGTGATCGATGGCGCCCGCGACACACGGATTCGCTCCGCCTGCTCTAACCCTTAGTCTCATGGACTGAGAACTTCACTCCCTCATTTACTTAAATCCGAAAGTCTGTGTCCTCCCTCACGCGCGCGCAGTCTCGGGGCAGCGGGCGCGGGACACGGGATCTGTGCAGCGGTGTGAACGACACTCCTAGTGATTCACGACGTCGGCGGGGATCACAGACCCGGGAGCGAGCGAGCGGTCTGAGGGTTCGGGCCTCGCCCCCAGAACGGCCCCCGCGTCCCGTCCCCCACCCCGTGCCCACCCACCCAGTCCCTGCGAACCGCCCCCCAGTTTCCCCGCCCACTCTCCCCCCCTCCCCGGGACCCCGCGCCCACTCCCGGGGCGGGGCGTGGCGGCGCAGTGGGAAGGAGGCTGCGGAACGTGACAGCTGGACGAACGGCACCGACACCTGAGACTGAGGAAGTAACGCTCAGGCTCCCTAGAAGGTCGGTCTGCAGCGGCCCGGCGTCGGGACCCCGCGGTCGGCAGGCGCGGCCCCGGGGCGCCAGTGTCCGGTCGTGTGTCCGGGTCCACCCCCACCCCGCCCCGGCGCCGCCCCCCCCCCCCCCCCCCCCCCCCCGCGCCCCCTCACCTGCCGGCGGGAGAAGAGCGCCGTGCCCGGCTGCAGCACGCGGGAGCCGCAGCGCTGGCACAGCACCGCCTTCCGGTTCCGGCCCTCCGCCGACACCAGGTCGCTCGGCGGCGCCGCGGGCTCCATGGCCTCTACCCGGGCCCTTGGCGGCGACGCGCAGCAGGGCGACTTCTTCGCACCGCGCAGGCGCGGTCGCGGCGGCGCTCCTTCAGCGCAGGCGCCGCTTCCCGGCCCCGGACGCCAGTGCGCAGGCGCGGACGTTCGCCGCCGCCCAGGCGGTCGGGTGTCGGCGTGGTTTTGTGACAGATGCCTCCTGGGATGTGACAGAGCTTCTGCCCAGGCTCACCTGGGCGCTGGGCTTCCCTTACACTGAGTGAAACCTGAGCCAGTCCAGGTGTGCGTTTAGTCCCGTGAACGACGGGGACGTCCTGGGGTCAGACCCCCATCAGCAAATCTCAGCCGCAGTGGCTCACACGGGACGCGACCTACAGGGACACCTGCCTTGTGGGCGGAGGCAGGCGCCTGGAAGCTTCAGTTGCTGCTCTCTGTTCTCATCATACTGACCACTAACTACGTGGCAAGACCTGGTGTTGACGCGCTTCCAGAAACGTCTCGAGTCCCAGTTTCCCTATGGGTCGGTCGTAGCGCAGTGACGCGGTAGAAGTCGGAAAGGCTGCCTTCCAGGGCCCACGGGTCCAGGCATGGCCCTAGAGCCACTGCTGGGTCGTTACACTGCGTCTCACACTCTCCGGTTCGTCTTCAGATGTCTAGCTTACTAGTTGTAGTACGGCAGGCGTGGCCTTCCTGAGGTGGCAGGGGAGGCAGATAGAAGGGGAGCCAAGCCGCCTGAGAAACGTCTCATCTACCCACCACCCCGTCGGCGGCACGTTTTTCTTCTTCCTCTTTGTCCTTCATTAATTCAACATTTGCTGAGCAATTACAGAATATGCTACACCCTGAGGATACTACGACGATAGGCACTTTGTACTGGAGAACACAGTTTAAACAGGAAGACAGACCCAAACCCAAGGACATGTGATAAAGACAATCCAGGGAACAAAGTAAATGGAAGCACAGATCAGGGGTAATTCCATATGGGGAGTCAGAAAAGGCTTTACCTAGGTGACACTTGAATTGGGCATTAAAAGGTGACTAGGATTTTGCCGGGACAGCAAGATTATTTCATATAGAAGGAACAGTGTAATATATCCACAAGGGTGAGAACAGATTTAGGAATGGTTAAGACCACTGTGGATGAAGCACGTGATACCTGGGGGAAGTGAGGGTGGTAGAGGAGGCAAGTTCAGAAAGGTGCCGTGAGTCCAGATCACCATGGGTCTAATGTCATGCTAAGGAATTCAAACCTTATAACATGGACAACGGGAATCTATGGACCTTTAGGCCAGAAATATCTGTTTGATATTTACTGAAAATGTGCAGTATGTTCGGTATTGTAATGGCCCTGTCCGTGCTTTAGAAAGATAACTGATGACAAAATGGAGGGGCTAGACTGGAAAGCAAGAGAAGAGTAGAGGTAAGGGTATCAGGAGACGATGCTCCATGAGTCTGGGCAAAAGATAGGGAAAAAAAATACAGGAATGGATTTGGAACAATTAAACTCATGTACAACCTAAAAACTAATCGGATGTCTGTATTGTGGTGGAGGTGATAGGTGACACAAGATGAAGGTAGCTTTAGCTTTCAGAGGTTGCATAACTTAGTGGCTGCCTGCCAGTTAACGGGAGCTAGAAAAACAGGAGGAACCACCAAATAAGGGGTAGCTGTGCGTAGGTCCACGAGCAGGGGAAAGCCCAGAAGATTGGGGAAAGAGTGGAAAGGGATGGAGGGGGCTATTCAGCTGTGGCTGCCATCGAAGAACTATTTGGGAATTTGGTCTGAAACTCAGAAGTCAGCCGTGAAGACAGCCCAGAGCCCAGAGCCATGGGTTCTTCACCCCCTCCCCTCCTCTGCCTCCCCTGGTCTCTTCCTGAGAGAACAAGTCACATGTCTCACAGTTCGATTTAATCGGCAGGCACAATCCCTCTGCTAGAGAAAGGCCGGCCGGCCTCTTTGCTGAACCTCTCTGGCTCCCCCTTCCCTTTGCTCTGGGAGTATCAAGATTTTTGCATTTCTGCAAGCCTTCCGCATAGCTGTTTGCATCACAAACAGCTGTTTGTGGCACAAATCGAGGCAAACGGAAAAAGGACTGGGGCGACTAAAACCCTAAAATTCAAGTGGTTACAAAACGAGCCCAAGATTGCCTCTTCTTTATCCCCTGTGGTTTCTAAGTAAAGTCCAACTGTGAGAGTCCGTGAATATGCAATTCAGATAACCTTGTATTGATGGGAGTCTCCAGAGATCTCTTACCTGTCTAACAGAGACACAGCAGAGCTAGTTGGCAAACACACAGGTGAACAGGCTGAAGAGACAGGACCTGCAGCTGATCCCTATGCCTGGTCCCCCAAAATGTCTGCAAGACACTGGAGACCACTGATTTTCAATATTTTCTTAAAAAAAAATACAAACAAATGAACTTGAGGTCAGTACAACTCAGGGAAAGAGGAAAAAAAGGAATTTCAGAGCAAAGGGAAAATGCATCCTTCCTTAGGTGATCACGTCCCCACACTCCCAATACCCACAGAGCAAGAATGTCACTGCACAGCACAGGGGAGCCTTGGAGGGACAGCGGGTACCGAAACTAACAAAAGGATTTTAGTTGTCGTTGATTATTCTGTCCTGGGATGAATAAAATCCACTTTAAAGACAGGGAAGGGGGGTTCTAATAGCAAAGAACTACATGTACAAAACACAGCAGTAAAAACCACACCTTAGCAGAAGCATGTCCTTAAAAGAATGAGGGAGTAATGAGGCAGCTGAACTTCTAGGCAGCTGCCCCCCCCCCCGCCCCCTCTAAACAGTATGGATGCGTAACAGTGGAGTGAGTAGCATTTGCTTCAACAGAGGAAGACCTTCCCCGTATAGATGAGTCACGGAAGGGAGGACTACTGTGAAATCACAAGAACTTCTGGTTTATCCCTGGCCCGCTGAAGGCCCATTCTCCTCCACCTCTGCTCACCTAACATGTGCTGGCTCTGTCACTCTCTCAGTCCCCAGGGCCCACAAATACCAGGGGGCCATGGAAAGACCCTCAAATAACACTCCCCCCTCAGCCTTCCGGCTGTCGCAGGTTCACTCACATCCCACCACGTCCAGCTCCCTTCCCACACTCCACACCCAGCTCTGACGCCAACCCTGTCCCCCTGTCCCCAGGCCCCCAAAGTTTTGACAGGGCTCTTCCCTCTGCTTCTCTCCAGATCGGAACTGTGTTGCCCCTGCTACCTGTAGACTAGGAAAGATATTTATTGTTGTGAAACAAGAGTTGGTACCCTTCCAATGATCGAGGCTGGATACCGCCCACACCCCGGCGCTGCGCTCATACCTTAATTCTCTGCAACACGCGAGGCACGACTTAAATGTATGTTCTCCCAAGCGCACGCTGAGTCAGAAACGAGGAGAGAGTGCCCCCGCGGCCGGGAGGAGAGGTGGTCTGGCCTCCCACACCCACTCAGCGTGCAGCCTCCTCCCCTGAGGGTCTGCCGCCCACCCTCCTCGGGGAAAACCACCAGTGCGAGGGGCGTCAAATAAGCACAGTCATCGCGGCACTGGTGCCTGTAATCACCCTGTGCACACGGTGAGAAGCAGACATTCTGGAAAGGATCCTTGGTTCCCTGCAAACTGTGTCGGACTGGTCACTTCTCGCGGAGAACACACACGCCAGCGTCGCAGCGCTGGGTTCCCATGGAGGTCACGACCTCCCAGCTGTCGATGATGGGGTCGTAGCACTCGATGCTGCTCAGCAGGGAATTCCCGTCGTAGCTGAGGGGGAAGAGGCGGGACTGAGCTCTGCAGCCGCACGGCCCCCTCCCGCACAAGGCGTCTCCCTCCCGAACCAAACCCCATCTCCACCCCAGATGCGGCTCGGATCACACCGCTCTGGATGCCTGGTTTAACCCTCACCCTGCGATTGCATAAAGTCTCCCCCGAAGCACCGTGGCCCCGACATAGCATCGCGGGGTGGTCATGCTAGTGACCGTTGTCCAGGAATCGGTGCGAATGTTGTACGCTTCGACAGAAGAAAGGTGGGCTGTACCATCGAATCCCCCAACCACATAAATATGGTCATTCAGCAGGGCTACTCCCGCACCTGGGGGAGAAAAGGTACAGCAAATGAAGACTGCTAAGCTCAGGATCTGAATTCTAGAAACAAAACACTGTCACTGACCGCTAGCTGAATTCCAGAATGGCCGAGGGATGGGGACGGGGCCAGACAGGCCTGGAAGAATCTAGTCCTGCACAGGTTACCCGCCTGTAAACCCTCTTGAACTGGCTGTCATCTTCACCTTCGTTAATTCACAGCCCAACCCTTATCAGCAGAAAAGAAGGAAGTGGAAAAAAGAAGGCAATAAAGGGAGGAAAGGGGTTGTGACTGGCTCTGGAGCACATCTTGCCCAGAGGAAGGGTGCTCTCCTTACCTTACCCCAGCCTGGGGGCTCAGGAAGCCCCTTCGCTGCACACGCACATTCCCTCAGGCAGTGTGCACCAGGTGCACAGAGCTGGACTGGCTGCTAGGATGCAGGGAGGGGCCCAGATGCAAAAAACGAGTAAGACAGGAAGCCTTCACCCTCAAACTGTACCCTAGTCAAAGTTTAGACTGCCTTTAGTCTCACTGTATTTAGAGACAACAGGCTGGAGGAGAATGGACCTGACTCATGTTCCCCTCTGTCTCCAGTGAAGACGGGGCTGCAGCCCTGGTCCGATGCCTGGCCTGTGGCTGCACCCTCACTGCACATACAAGGTTTGGACAGCTCCGTCTGTTGCCCCCCCAGATCTGACTGGTCTTACCAGAGCGCTTGGTGGCCATCGGTGTGACATTAGTCCAGTGTCCGGTATGGGGATCATATCTCTCAACTGAATTTAAGATATTCAAGCCATCATATCCTCCTGAAAGACAAAGCAGAGACCGCTCCAGAAAGAATGGCAAGTCCTGATGCCCATTCCCATTCTGCCTTTCTCGAGTGTTTCAACTAAGTCTTTGAGTTCCAGTTCTCCCTCAAGGGTTCCAATAATCCAAAAATAAATCTGGCAGTACCCTGTTTTCTGCTTCCATGAAAAGGAGAATCCCAGTTAATGAAAAATATACTGCGACAGACCGGGGTTTTAGTGGAAGGAAGTCTACGAACTTCATTCTGGTAAAAAGGATCCCACCCCGAGGCTGCCGCCCATCAGTTCTCCCCGCGTCCCAGCCCGCACACCTAGGCAGTAGATGACCCCGCTGGCCACCACGAGGCCTGCGCCTTCCCGGGCCGTCTGCATGTCTCCCAGCATGCTCCACTGGTCGATGTTTGGGTCATACCGCTCCATACTGGTGTGACGCCTGCTTCCGTCAAAGCCCCCAGAGACATAGATCATATCTGCTCAGAATGAACAAGTCACAGCTATTAGAGAACGAGAGCCTTCTAGTAACTCTTTTCTCTACAAATCTCCCACAACTCTTTCCAATGTTTGGGGGCAAAAACAAGTGTTTTTTTAAGGGATAAGTCAAGTAAGTCCTTTTTAAGGAGGACAGCACAATCGAGACATGTAAAAAGAATGGGGTAAGACGGAATCTTCAGAAACATTCCAAGACTAGATGGGAATTTGCAAAAATACAACTAGTGCCAATTCCCCACTGAGCACACTGGAACTTGATTTACCAACTCTGTTGTCAGCGTTGAAACACCCATGAGTATTTCTGAAAGCAGAAAGGCGTATCTGATCTTACCAGTAGCCTCCACATTTCATAGAGAGGTATGAACCCCGATCCAGCCACCCCAAAATGCAAACACTGCCCTGTGCACCAGCCTACCTCCTAAGGTGGTGGCTCCAGCCAGGCCTCGTCGGACATTCATAGGGGCCACAGAATACCAGACCCCATCTTCGTCTGCTGTGTAGTCTAGACACTCCACTGAGCTGAGGCGGGAACGGCCATCATAGCCGCCAATCACGTAGATCCGGTCGTGGAGGGACACTGAGGCTACGTAGCGTCTCTTCCGAGTGATGCTCTAGGATTCAGGAGGGAAGAGGTGCCTCTTGTCATTTCAGTCATGCCAGTCTTAGGCCTCACCTTTTGCTGTCCTTCCTGTGTTTATCTGTGCACCTCTGCTTCTTCACCTGTCACTGTGAAGCCTTCTGAGCAGAGGTTCATCTGCTGTCTGGATGAAAACCTCTTGCTTGTTGTGATGCTCTTACAGATTAAAGCCTTCTGTACATTTGCCTCCTTCCAAGGCTTCCAAAGGACCTAATGTCCTTCTGTTATCCAGTATCCGATTCCTCTCTATTCCATAAGGCACTGGGCTAAAGACCGGTATCCTTCCATAAAGCAGAAAGCTATTACCACAGTGCTATCTAAGGGCCAGGACCTGAAGACCCGAAAAGTTACGAGAAATGATCAAAAGATTTCCAAGTGTTCTCAGAATTACTATTGTTCATTCAGCACTGAAACAGAGACACACCAAAGGAGAGAGAGACAAACTTCCAAGTTCCACTGGATGCCAGTTCAGCTTAGCACAGTTTAACACAGTGTTCAGGTTAACAGGGCACGAGGGTAGCACCCTGCGAGTTGCACAGGCAGCTTGGGAAGGCGCGGGAATGGTGGCGGCCAGCTGAGTGTAACTTGGCACAGGGTCATTAATATTTCTTATGTCTAATTAGTCAATAACTAACTACTGAAACTAACTGCTGTAAGGAACACGATGCTGTTACTAGGCTTTTCTACTCTAAGGGCTGGATCAGTTATGATCTGGAGCCAGGGACTGCATTTAAGCTCTTTCCCCAGGCTTGGTTCCACCACTACTTACTGGCAAAAAGCTCCACTCCTGAGTCTTGGGGTCATACTTCTCCACCACGTCGATGGGAGACTGCTGGCTTCCGAAGCCCCCGACCACCAGAAGCACTTCGTTGGCTCCTGAGGACAAGGGAGAAGGAGAGAGGTCACTTCCCCATCGCTGCTGGGTAACTCCTCACAGGGAAGGAGAAGGAGAAACAGGGCTAGGATACCTTGTTCTCTGCAGCCCAGAGAAGCCATCTGGAATAGGAGATTCATCATAAGGCTGCCTAACAGGAAATTATTTCTTCCTGAGAACCTGAATCTCTGAAATTTGAATTTCTGGACAACATTAAAACTCCGGAAGGCAAGCGTGAACACACCCTACACCATTTCAACCCATCTAGACAACTCTGGCTGATTTCACAACAGGCTCCAAGTGCAGGCTGGAGGCTGGAGGAGCTCTCTCTGCCCTTCTCACCCCGTAAAACTCAAA